TTTTTTGCGGTAGGCCTGTAGAGCTAGGAACTTCCCTCTCAGGACTGCATTCACTGTGTCCCATAGATTTTGGCTGTTGTGTTTTCATTGTCATTCATTTTCAGGATGTTTTTAATTTCTTCTTTGATCTCTTTGGTAACCCAATCATTATTTAATAGCATGCTATTCAGCCTCCAGGTGTTTGAATTTTTTTATTCTTTTTATTGTAGTTGTAAAATAATATTCTAATATTATGCAGTTGTGGTCTGAGAAGATGGCTGATATGATTTCAATCTTCTTGAATTTGGTGAGACTTTGCTTGTGACCCAGTATGTGGTCTGTCTTTGAAAATGTCCCATGTGAACTTCATAAGAATGTATATTCCATAGCTTTGGGGTGAAATGTTCTGAAGATGTCAATTAAGTCCATCTGATCTAGTGAGTCATTTAGGATTGCTGTTTCTTTGCTGATTTTTTGTTCAGAGGAATTATCCAGTCATATCAGTGGGGTATTAAAGTCCCCTACTATACTTGTATTGTTGTCTATCTCTCCCTTGATTTCTTCCAGAAGTGTTTTTATGTTCTTGGGTGCCCCTGTATTGGGTGTATATATGTTTACCAGAGTTATATCTTCTCGTTGTATTGATCCCTTTAGTATTATGAAGTGGCCTTACTTCTCTCTTGTTATGGCCTTCACTTTGAGGTCTATTTTTTCTGATATAAGAATTGCTTCCCCAGCTTTTTTTTTTTATTTCCATTTGCCTGAAAAATATTTTTCTGTCCCTTCCCTCTCAGTCTGTGTGCATCCCTTGTTGTGAGGTGGGTCTCCTGCAGACAGCATATGCATGGGTCATGTTTTCTTATCCATTCATCCATTCAATGTCTTTTGATTGGAGCATTCAGTCCATTTACGTTCAAGGTTATTAATGATAGGTACTTGTTTGTAGCCATTTTTATTTTTTGTGCCTGTGTTCCTTCTTCCCTTTTTATTTATTCTTTTTACAACAGTCCCTTTAGCATTTCTTGCATTGATGGTTTGTTAGTGATAAACTCCCTTAGGGTTATTTTTTTCTATGAAGCTCCTGATTTCCCCTTCAATTTTGAATGATAGCCTTACTGGGTAGAGTCTTCTGGGACTCAGTCCCCTGCCCTGCATCTCTTTATATACTTCATTCCATCCCTTTCTAGCCTGATATGTTTCAGTTGAGAAATCATTTGATAATCTAATGGTAGATCCCTTGTTGGTAACTCTGTCTTTCTGTCTTGCAGCCTTTAAGATTCTCTCGTCTTGAATGTTTGCCATCATATTTACGATGTGTCTTGGTGTGGGTCTTTTTGGGTTCATCTTGTTTGGGACTTTCTGTGCTTGTGTGACTTTCTTTTTTCCCAAATCAGAGAAGCTTTCTGACATTATTTCTTCAAGTAGGTTTTCTAACCTTTGCTCTTCTTGTTGTCATTCTGGAACCCCTATTACATGTATATTGCTTCATTTCATGTTGTCCCAAAGCTCCCTTAGGTTCTCCTCCTGCCTTTTAATTTATTTTTCCAATTGTAGTTCAGATTGAATGTGTTTTGCTGCCCTGTCTTCTAATTCACTAATTCGGTCCTCTGCTTGTTGCCAGCCTTTCAGACTTCATGGACCACCAGTGGTTCATGGACCACCTGTTGGCAACTGCTGCTCCAAAGGTTTCCTTAAACCAGTGGTCGCCAACCTTTTGGACCTCACGGACCACCAGTGGTCTGTGGACCACCAGTTGGCAACCGCTGTTCTAGTCTATTGTTGAAACTTTCCGTAGTGTTTTTTATTGTTGCTATATCACTCTTTATCTCCTCTTGATCCTTATATAAGTTGTTGATATTCTCATCCATCTGGTTTACAAACTGTAAACCCTTATTCTGAATTCTCTTTTGACAAATTGCATGCCTGCATTTCATTTAGTTCCTTTTCTGGTGATTCCCCCTTTTCTCTCCTTTGGGCGTTGTTTCTTTACTCTTCATCTTTGCTCTCACCGAAGGATCTAGTTGTCTAGTTGCACTGGGCCTATGACTGCAGCTTGGCAATGGGTTGCATGTTCACCAGGTGTGGGGTCGATGTGTCAGGCTTGGAGGTGATTCATGTGGTTGGGGCGTCTGGGGTTGCTGTGTTAGGCTTGTCAGTGGCTAGCATCTGGGGTTGCTGTGTGAGGCACCTGGGGTTGCTGTGTAGGGCTTGGCTGCTCACTCTCAGTTGTGGCACCTGGGCTTGCTATGTTGGGCTTGGCAGTGGCTAGTGTGGTTGTAGCATCCAGGGTTGCTGCATAAGGCTTGGCTGTTCGCACGAGGATGGGGCGCCTGGGGTTGCTGCATAAGGCTTGGATTCCGGGGAGGCTGTGTAAGGCTTGATTGTTTTTGCACGGTCACAGAGCCTGGGTTGCTGCTTAAGGCTTGCCTGTTTGCCTGTGGTCGTGGCCTCTGGGGCTAAAGTGTCTGGCCAGCGGGAGGGGAGCACACTCCAAAACTCACAGGAGCCTTTGACCGAGGAGGCTGGGGTTTTGGTGTTCATGGATCCACAGCTGAGGCAGCAGGCCTCTGGCCAGAGTGGCTGTAGGGTTCCGGGTGGTGTCTGAGGGAACCCTGGGTGGTGGTGAGGCTGGGCTCCCAGTCACAGCAGCTCTCCCCTTCAAGATGGCACAGTCTCTGTGGCAGAGCCAGACGCCATGGGAGAGACTGCAGTGGTAACAGAGGCTGCCTGGCTAGGGGGCCTTGTCTGCCAGCCCCCAAAAGTCCTGTGAAATCTAACTGTCCTTCACCACCCCACACGTCCACGCACTTCCCTTTCACTCCCTCACTCACACTCTCTCCCTCACTGCTGTCCTGCCAGCCACCTTCTTCCCTCTGGATTCGTTTTTAGGACATTACATATAACATACTGTGACTGGATGAAGGAAAGTCCCACTGTCCCTACCTACTATCCAGTGAAACCACCCAAGGGAACGGGCTTAGCAGAATCAGCAGGGAAGGAAGACCCTGTTGAGTTCAACTGTAGTCTGGCAAGTCAAAGAGATGGGAGAGGTGTATGAGTTGGATCTCCTTGGGAGCCACAATCCCCTCCCATCAGGGAATCGGGGAAAGGGACAGTGCCAGGTGGGGAGTTTGAGTGGGGCACTACACTGGTCAAATGGTAATGCAGGTGTTCTAAGTTGAGCACAGGGAGGACAGAAACCTCCCATGAAACAGAAAGGCTAAAGCTATCTTGATCTTGATTTTCTTTTTTAATTCTTTATTGTTTAAATTATTACATATGTCTCCTTTTTCCCCCATTGAGATCTCCCCTTGATTTTGATTTTCAATAGGAATACAGATCTTAAAAGCAGAGCCTCACATTTTAAAAAGAAACAAACTAAGGAAAAATATGTACTGTGACCTTGACCTACAATTCTGGTCTCTTCCTCTGTTCTTTAGAGGTGATTCCTATTATGAATTGAAAGGACACTTTCCAACATATATATTCTAAAATATAGAGATAAAATTTGTTAATTTATTTTAAAATGTTTAAATTATAGAAGTTTTAGAAAGACCAAGTCTCTGGCTCCTTTCTCAGTATTTTAATGATAGTATCTATAATAATAAAAGCGTAATATGCTAATTAGACCAGACAGCCAAACGACCTTCCAGATGACCTTCCGGACAACAACATTCCGGACGAAGCTCGGGCTGCAAGGGCTGAGGCAGCTGCTGTGGCTGCGAGGGCCAAGCCCCTTGCATGAATTTTGTGCATTGGACTTCTAGTCAATATATATAAAAGGCTAAGTGACTGACCATCATACATCTGACCATTCGATTGACCGGCTAGCTAGTACATATGACGCGCACCGACAGTTTAAAAATAAACGTTGACTCATACATGCATGATCCATATAAAGCTCTCGCTGGCACAAATCGCACACGTGTGTTTTGATCTGTCATTGGTGATCATGAATTTGGTTGTTTTTGTTGACATTCTGAAGCTGAAAGAAAGCTGTATCGTCAACAGATTATGTCTGAAGACCAACTATTGGCACAACTGTTCCTATCTGACATTAGCCTCCCATTTAAATTAATTTGAAGACAGTTTCCTGTGATTCCAGCATTTGCAATGACTATTAATAAATCACAAGGACAAACTCTAGACAGAGTAGGAATATTCCTACCTGAACCCGTTTTGGGTTGTGGTCAGTTATATGTTGCTTTCTCTCGAGTTCGAAGAGCATGTGACATTAAAGTTAAAGTTGTAAATACTTCATCACAAGGGAAATTAGTCAAGCACTCTGAAAGTGTTTTTACTCTTAATGTGGTATACAGGGAGATATTAGAATAAATTTAATCAATTTATCAGTCTTTGTTTTTATCAATGTTGTTTTTATATCATGTTTTTGTTTTTATGTCATGTCTTTGTTGTTATATCATGTTGTTATTGTTTACTTATTAATCAATTTATATGTTATTTTCATATACATTTTACTAATTTTTTTTCATTTCTGACACGTCTGTTATAGAAAATGGTGAATAGTGATATTAAAATATTTCTTCTAATTACTTTCAATATGCACAAATCTGTGCACCAGGCCACTAATTTTAACATAATTGATTCTGCTTTATGAAACGGCTTCTCAAGCATTTTTTGTTTACAATGCTATATGCTGACGATTAGTAAGTAAAATAAACAAAAGACTCACATAAAGAAAATGCAGGTCTGTTTTTGAAAAGTTAGGAGTAAATGCTAAGATTACTATTTTTTTTATTATTTATTGCTTAAAGTATTACAAAGAGTATTACATATGTCTCCTTTCTAAGATTACTATTGAGTGAATGATGTATTTGTTATAAGTTAGGGAATATTTTTTAGATTTTTAAAATTAAGTCCCTGATATGAATTCAGTATAATATTGTAAAGAAATAGATTGTTTTCACTTTTCAAAATGTAACTATTTTTATCTGCTTGCAAAAATGAACTAAAAACATTTCTGAGAATCTTATACTAAATTATTCCCATTTTCTCTTTAGCAAAATGATCAACTTATCTGAACCAGATACAATTGATGAAAGAGCCATTAATAAGAAAAAGCTCACCCCTTTCACTGTTTCTGTAAGTATTTATGTTGTAAAATGTAAAATGGAAGGCTTTTCTTTTATTTAAAAAAATATATTCTTATTGATTTCAGAGAGACAGGGAGAGGGAGAGAGAGATAGAAACATCAATGATGACAGAGAATCACTGACGGGCTGCCTCCCACTGGGGATCAAGCCCACAACCTGGGCATGTGCCTTTGACCAGAATCGAACCCAGGACCCTTCAATCTGCAGGCCAACACACTATCCACTGAGCCAAACCAGCTAAGGCTGGAAGGCCTTTCTTAATGGATGTTTGGGCCCAAGTAAAACCTATGATTTAACATAATTTCAGTTTCATATAAAAACTAGGTTTTTATTAAATAAAAATTTAGCTGTATTTTGTAATCAGTGGAATTAAGATCCAAAGTACTTTTCTTAACTTTATTTTTTTTAAATTTCTTTATTGATTAAGGTATTACATATATGTCCTTTGACATTGCCCCTTTGAATGAACTTCTTTATTTAATATAATAGTATTCAGGTTATCCTATCTAATAAAAGAGAAACATGGTAATTGGCGTACGACCGCTACCCTTCACATTGGCTAATCAGGGAGATATGCAAATTAACTGCCAGCCAAGATGGCGGCCGGCAGCCAGGCAGCTGGAAGCGAACATGAGGCTTGCTTGCTTCACTGACGGAGGACTCCAATGTTCCCCGCCTGCCTTGCCGGCCTCTGAGCTTGCAGTTTAAGAAACATTGTAACAAATATAGAAGCTAAACAAAACCCCAGAAACCTGCTTTCAGCCGGCCAGGATCTCAGAGCTGGAGTTATCCATTGTTTCAATTATAGAACCCAAACAAACCAGATACCTGCTTTCAGCAGCAGAGGCCTCAGAGCTGGAGCCAGAGCTAAAGCTGGCCCAGAATAAAAAAGAAAAAAGAAAGAAAGGAGCAGTTAGGAGCTTCAGTCGACCTGAAAACAGCCCTTAGCCCCTCACCCAGACTGGCCAGGCACCCCAGTGGGCACCCCCACCCTGAAGGGTGTGTGACCAGCTGCAAACAGCCATCATCCCCTCACCCAGGCTGGCCAGGCACCCCAGTGGGGACCCACACCCTGATCCAGGACACCCTTCAGGGCAAACCAGCCAGACCCACCCGTGCACCAGGCCTCTATCCTATATAGTAAAAGGGTAATATGCCTCCCAGCACCGGGATCAGCGTGACAGGGGGCAGCGCCCAAACCCCCTGATCGCCCTGCGGCTCTGTGTGTGACAGGGGGTGAGGCTACAACCTCCCTATCCGCCCTGCTCTGTTCATGACAGGGGAAGGCGCCCCAACCCCCTGATCAGCCCTGCTCTGTGCCTGATACGGGGGAGCTCCCCAACCCGCTGATCGCCCTGTGGCTCTGTGTGTGACTGGGTGCGATGCCCCAACCCTCCCTCTCCCCCCCCACGGGCCCTGCTCTGTGTGTGACAGGGTAGAGCCATAACCTCCCCATCAGCCCTGCCCTGAGTGTGACAGTGGCAGCGCCCCAACACCCTGATCGGCCCTGCTCTGTGGGTGATAGAGGGCGGCGCCCCAACCCCATGATCCGCCCTGCCCTGAGTGTGACAGGGGGCGGTGCCCAACTCCCCTATCGGCCCTACTCTGTGAGTGGCGGGGGGAGCTCCTCAACCCCCTGATCGGCCCTGCTCTGTGCATGACAGGGGGGAGATCCCCAACCCCCTGATTGACCCTGTTCTGTGCGTGACAGGGTACGGAGCCCCAAACCCCCTGATGGGCCCTGCTCTGTGCGTGACAGGGGGTGGCGCCGCAACCTTCCCATCGACCCTGCCTTGAGTGTGACAGGGGGCGGCGCCCCAACCCCCTAATCGTCCCTACCCTGAGCGTGACTGAGGGTGGCAGCACAACCTCCCAATCTGCCCTGCTCTGTGCATGACAGGGGGCAGCACCTCAACTCCCCAATCGGCCCTGCTCTGAGCCCGACCAGGGGCTGCACCTAGGGATTGGGCCTGCCCTCTGCCACCTGGGAGCGGGCCTAAGCCAGCAGGTCATTATCTCCTGAGGGGTCCCAGACTGTGAGAGGGCACAGGCCGGGCTGAGGGACCCCCTCTTCCCCCCCCGAGTGCACAAATTTTTGTGCACCGGGCCTCTAGTATTATTATAATTATTGTTATTTTTATTAATGAATATTTGCTGTGTGCCAATGTTTTTATTGGTTGGTTGGAAAAAGAAAAGTGTATAGTTTTACTGTTTCACAACATTTTTAGCTATTTTAAAAATATATAGTTTTTATTAATTTCAGAGAGGAAGGGAGAGGGAGATAGAAACTCAATTATGAGAGAGAATCACTGATTGGCTACCTCCTACACACCCTACACTGGGGATCAAGTCTGCAACTCAGCACGTGCCCTAACAGGGAATCGATCAGTGACCTCCTGGTTCATAGGTCGATGCTCAACCACTGAGCTATGCCAGCCAGGCTTTAGCTATTCTTTTTGTACTAAACTGTTCTGTAGTCAGCTTGCCCATTTACATATTGTTCAAGTTCAGGAATTTATAGTTACCACACTTTTCCATCAAAATGTCTAGTTCAGTGGGTGGATGTCAATATTTATCAAGTACTAACTAGGTACTAGTCACTCTTCTAAACATGAATTATCCCTTTGACTCCTCCTTGCAGCCTTAAAATAAGATATTATGACTTTAAAGAGGATGAGACTATGTCACTGAGAGGGTCTACAGTGTCCAAGTCAGGGCGTGTTCCCAATGGTCTGGCTCCAGAACCCAGCCTTTTCATCCCTGTGCCGTACTGCCTCTCACATGGTGGGAGCAGCAGCAACTATTTCATGTGCGATTCACAACTGTAGCTGTTAGAAGTGAGCTACTGCTGAGCTGTTCCCTTCTTTTTTGTTGGAAAGTACAATCCTTGATTTTGGTGAAGTTGTTAAGTCTCTCCTATAAGGAAGCTATGACCTTAGGGCAGTGACAAATGGTTAATTCCAGACTATCCTAGTGTTACTCTCATTTCCAGTCATCCTTGAGAATTATAGAGTAAGATGTTGGCCAACATAACTTTTTGTCCCCCCTCCAATAAGCCAATACTATTGTATATCCCTAGCACTTTCTATGTTAGAATCCAAGCCACAAAGTACTATTCTTTTTTTTTTTTAATATATTTTATTGATTTTTTACAGAGAGGAAAGGAGAGAGATAGAGAGTTAGAAACATCGATACATCGATTAGCTGCCTCCTGCACATCTCCCACTGGGGATGTGCCCGCAACCCAGGTACATGCCCTTGACCAGAATCGAACCTGGGACCTCTCAGTCCGCAGGCCGACGCTCTATCCACTGAGCCAAACCGGTTTCGGCAACAAAGTACTATTCTTTAAAAAGCCCATTTCTGATTGTAATTGTCAGATTGTGTTTTTTGTTTTGTTTTGGGGGGGTTTGTTTCTTTATTTTTTGGTGTTTTTTTTTACATCTTATGTCAGGATGCTTCATCTAATACTATCTATGATTGTTGAAAACATTCATTTATGTCTTATTTCTAGAATACATGTCACACAAATTTTTTATGGCACTGAATCAGAAATTCAGCAATTCTTACTGTTGTATAAATTTATTTCATTTTACTTTTAATACTTATATGCAGTGTATTCAAGAAAATAAAGACAATTATTCTGTAGCTATTTTTCAATAGCTACAGGATGGGTCCGAGGTAGTAAGTCCTTTATAGTTTTATTTTTAGAGATAGCATTCTTCCAGTATGAGTATGTGGAATAGTCTAGGTCTCAAAGATGCTTGAAAGAGTGTGTTAATGTAGAATGAGAAAAGACAGGCCTCTGGGAAGGGGTGAAGTATTACTGTGGATATTAAATCTGTTTTGTTTATTCAGTAATTTTAGAGCTCTGGAAATAGATCTGCTAGAAAACTACTAGTTTTTCATGAAACTTCATCCCAAAGAGGTGTAATTCATTTGTAAAAGATTGTAAAGATAGTGATAATACAGTTACTCACTTTATGATGATAGGGTTACATAGTATCATGATGTATAGAAGAAGAGAAATATAAAAAGGATGAAAATGACATAACTATGAAAGCAAGGGAAAGGGACACATCAGGTAGTTAATAGCAAGACTCATTTTTTTTTAATCTTAGAGAATTTCTTGTCTTCTATCCAGTGTACTACTGAGCTGCATTTTCTTATTTATCATTATTGAAAGAAAAGTGAATTATATAAATAAGACTGAAAAGCAGATTAGTGATTTAGGGACCCAAAAGTCAGGAAATTAACAAGATTTGGTATAGGAAATTGAAATCCAGTGCAAATAATATACTCATATACATACAGAGTATACATGTATATCCTTTATACTTACACATATATACAAATGTACACATAAAAATATGACCTTAATTTCACTTTATATACAATTGCAGCTAAAGTAGGAAAATCACAGAGCCCATTTGGATATTCCAAATGAAGTAAAAGTGATGATATATAAAATTATGAAATCTGAATAACAAACCATGCCTTTATTTTTATTGACCCAATAATTATCTAGCACATCCCTCTCAAAATTATTAACAAAAGTGAACTCATCTGGAATTGGAACTTTATGAAAAATGAAAATTTGCAAAGTGGTATGAATGAAAAGAATTTCATTACCTATATGAGCTTGTTAGCAAAGAATCAAATAGTTAATTAATCAAAATAGAAGTGACATGAGAAGCCATCTGAAACAGCAGTATAAATTTTTCTGCCTGGGAAAGTGGGCTATATCTTAGGCACAGTGAGTGATGTACAAAAAAGATGGGAGAGAATGGATGGGTAACCCAAGATAAACTGTGATATTTGACTGTGTCTTTTGTTAGCATCTCTGTAAGATATCCTGTTTTACAAATTAAGACACCAAAGCTCAGGAAGGAGCAATACCTCTCTCATGACCCAGTTGGTGGAGATTCCCTATTGTCCTTGTTTCTCTCCACTAACACAGGTCTTCAGGAAGGAAGGCTGAGCACTCAGGGCAGTTGCCCATGTCAAGACTTGGAGAACAACCTCTTTATGGGGCGCTCCTGTTACTTCTTGGTCTTACAGTATTTGGAATTGGCTTTAGACAGTAGTGGTTGTCCTATTCCCTACATACCAGTAAGCCAATAATGTTGTATTTACCAATTAGAAAGTAACATCTATTCGATGAAGTAGATTTTAGCTTCTAACTTTCAATCTGTTTTTTAAGCTAATAACTTATAAGTCATTTGCTATACTTGTAGAGCCAATGGTTTTAAATAAAATTAACATCAAAAGCTGTTTCCCCATGTATCAACAACACCACCTGTTGATGAGACAAAGCTGAGTTTTACTGCTTATTGCAGTTAGACAAAAACCACCTGCAATTCCTGGCAGTGTCTTGGGAGCTCTAACAGACCTAACTTGGCTGAAGCATGGACTATATAAGTAGAATGTCAAGAGATGAGGCCAGAGTCAAATCCTAAGTGTTTTTGATTGCCATATTATAAATTTGGACTTGACCCTCTCCTTTCCCTTCTTGCCTTTACTCACTCTTAAGCATTCATCCACTTATTCAATAAATATTTATTGAGCATGTACCATGTGTTAAGTATCTGGGAAACAGCCCAAACATATAAAAAAAGCCTCTGTTATTATGTTATATACTAGAGGCCCAGTGCACAGATTTGTACACCAGTGGGGTCCCTCAGCATGGCCTGTGAGGATCCAGGGAGGAGCTGCTCCCACTCATCCCAGCCCTACTCATCCTGGTCAGCTGAGCGGTGCTCTGCTTGGGAGCCCCACTCATCTTGGTCAGCTGAGTGGTGCTCCCACTGTGGGAGCACACTGGCCACCAGGGAGAAGCTCCTGCATTGAGCGTCTGCCCCCTGGTGGTCAGTGAGCATCATAGCGACTGGTCAAGTGGTTGACTAGTCGCTTAGGCTTTTATATATAGAGATATGATATACATAATAATAAGCATATAAATATATAATACTAGAGGCCCAGTGCACAAATTCGTCCACTGGTGGGGTCCCTCGGCCTGGCCTGCACCCTCTCACAATTCAGGACCCCTCCAGGGATGTCAGACTGCTGGTTTCAGCCAAGTCCCTGCAGGCTCTAGTATGCATATAACATCTTTGGTTAATCTCTTCCTGCCCTCCCCTCTCCCTCCTTCCCTCTGAGATTCATCAGTCTTTTTCATGTTTCCATGCCCGTGTGTTGAGCGTCTGCCCCCTGGTGGTCAGTGTGCATCATAGCTACCAGTTGAACAGTCACTTAGGCTTTTATATATATAGACTAGTAGCCCGGTGAATGAAATTCGTGCACTGGGGTGGGGGGGGGGGAGAAGGGGCCCCTCAGTCTGGCCTTCACCCTCTCTCATCTGTGACCCCTCATGGAATGTCCAACTACCTGTTTGTGCCCACACTTTTAACAGATAACAGCTCCATTGTTGTCTCTTTCTTATGCTTAAAACCATTGGAATTAGTAGGTATTCAAAGTGTGTATACATTTTGAGGGGACACCCTGTATATCTCTAGTCAGCGGTGAAAGAAACCAACAGCAGATTTGGAACCCCCAGACAGGGAACCTCGCTTACTCCCCACACGTCTCCCCACTTCACTTTCCACCTTCGTGGGCCGCAGGAGAATCAACGTTTTCTCTCATTAATTTGGAAAAGCACGTCCTGTCACCCACTGCCTGGCAGGAGTGCGCTAGGCCCCAAGCAAGCGAGGCTGTCAGGGCAGCCTTCGCTCATGGGTGCTGGCACCCAAAGTGCACATTCCTCCTCTACAGTCGCCCCGACTATCCCACTGTTTCACTGAGAGGATGGAATTCCTCTCCACGTCTGGGTTCTTGATCTTGAACGCTGACCAAAGGCACCTCAGCGAGGGCCGCCCGCACCCACCAGGTGTGTCTGTCTGCATCTGCCCCAGCCTCAGCACCTGCATTAACCCCCCAGAGGTGATCTCGTAGCTGCACTGGCCTCCGTGGGAACAGGGCATCACCAATCCGCCCTCTCACTGTCATCTCACAGGCGCCCACCCTCAGCACCCAGAACACCCAGACACTCTCCAAAGAACGTGAGCGCATCAGAGGGGATGTGTGCACATCCTGTGGGGGTGTTAGGCATGCCGGGTTGATGGAAGTATGCTGGAGAGGTGGGGGGAACTTGTGCACGCCTTGGTTTGCAACTGTTGCAGGCGCGGGAGGGTGACAGTGTGCTGGGGGATGTTCGCACACCAGGGCGGGATGTGCACACCGGAGGCCTCTGGCTTTGCAGATCCGCAAACCCCCGTGGTGCGGCCAGGAGGACGTCAGTCTGGCCCGCCATGGTGGCTGTCCCTGCGATCCTGCACCTTCTGGGCCAGGAGGCAGATCTTGCGCAGCCACTCCTGGGTGCTGATGGCCTGCAGGCGCTACTTCAGCTCAGCTTGCAGGCTCCACTTGGCGTGCTCACAGCTGTCACCACTGCCATGTGGGGAGTACAGGCCGCCCTCCACCGGCCTGCCTCCCCTGTCCAGAGGCTCTCTGTGCTGCTCACCTGCCCAGAGTGACTGGGGCTGGGTGGAAGCCAGGCATCCTGCCCTGCCCAACCCTGGCCGATCTGCCCCTGTGCAAGCTGCCGCCCCGCCGGGAAGGGTCACAGATCCGGGTTCCAGGACCACAGGCGGCCTCAAGCACTGTCCCCCGCCCAGCAGGATCACAGATCTGGGTCCCGGGACCGCGGACAGCCTCAACCACTTCCCCCCGCCTGGCAGGGTCACAGATCTGGGTCCTGGGACAGCAGACAGCCTCAAGTGCTGCCCCCGCCCAGCAGGGTCACAGATCCGGTCCCAGACCGTGGACAGCCTTGCCCGCTGCCGCCCGCCTTCAGTATGCAAATTAGCCACCATCTTGTTGCTTTAGGGTGGGGGTCCCCACTGGGGTGCCTGGCCAGTCTGGGTGAGGGGCTGATGGCTGTTTGCAGCTGGTCACACCCCCTTCAGGGTGGGGGTCCCCACTAGGGTGCCTGGCCAGTCTGGGTGAGGGGATGATGGCTGTTTTCAGGCTGGCAGGCGACTGAAGCTCCCAACTGCTCCTTTTTTTCTTTTTTTTTTATTCTGGGATTTATTTACCTTCTATGGCTGTCACTGGAGCTGAGAGCCAGCTTTAGCTCTGAGGCCCGGCTACAGCTCTGAGACCTCGGCTGCTGAAAGCAGGGATCTGGGTTTGTTTTGATTCTATAATTGAAACACTGTTGCGATCCTGCTGGCTGAAGCCCGGCTGGCTGAAAGCAGGTTTCTGGGTTTTGTTTAACTTCTATAATTGCAACATTGTTTCTTAGAGTGCAAGCTCAGAGGCTGGCAGTGGCTTCCTCTATCACTGGAGCAAGCAAGCCTCCTGTTCGCTTCAGCTGCCTGGCTGAGCTGGCCGCCATCTTGGTTGGCAGTTAATTTGCATATCGCCCTGATTAGCCAATGGGAAGCGTGTTGGAGCTACGGTTAATTACCATGTTTGTCTATTATTATATAGGATGTCACAGAATGCTAAAGAGTAAAATCAGGTATAGTGAGTGCCAGCTGAGGTGTGGTGATGCTTGCTATTTTGTATAGGATAATGAGAGAAGGCCATTAGGTGCACTTGAGCAATATTAAAGGACTTGTGGATATTTGGGGGAAGTATGTTCCAGGCAGAGCTAATAGCCAGTTCAGAGGTCCTATATAGTGAGTGAGAGGACATAGTAGGAATTATAGGGAACTTGAAGGGTTTTCCAGTGAGGGAACACCATCAAGTTTCTATTTTACTAAGATCACGAATAGCACAATATTGTGGAAGATGGATTGTAGATAGTTTGAGATGGGTGTTAGGAAGGAACCAAGAAATTGAAGAAAGGCACCAACAGTTTCCACAGGTATTTAGAAGGTGGAATTGACAGACATTGGTGACTAGATATGGTAAGCAAGGAAGAAAAAGGATTCTGCTCATATTTCTGACTTAGGAAGAAAGAAGGCAAGAATGAATGTTGGTCCTATCAACCAAGACAGGAAATAAAGAAAAGCCAGTTTTAATAGATAATTAGAGGAAGACCAAGGAAGCATGGCAGGAAAATTGCTTCAGTTTTGGACATGAGTTTGAGATACTTGTGAAACACCCAGATAGACCTAACCAAGTGAGTATATAGGTATAGCGTTTAGAGTGGGCACTGAGAGAAAGTGTGGGCTGAAGATATGGATTTGAAAATCATTGGCATATAGAGGTAATAGTTAAAACCATAGAAAATTTCTTTTAAATATTGGTGTTTTGCTTATTTAAATATTATGTTTAAAAATCTGAAATTTCACAATTCTTTGTTTCTTATTTACCTTCTTAACTTGTTGATAAGACTTTAGAAAGTACTTCCTCATGGGTATTTTTCTTTGTGGCAAATCAGGAAAATTTAAACCTAGCCTTGAATTCTGCCTCAGCCATTGGATGTACAGTGGTCAATATTGGTGCACAGGATCTCAAAGAAGGAAAACCTCACTTGGTCTTGGGACTTCTCTGGCAGATCATCAAAGTTGGTCTTTTTGCTGATATTGAGATTTCCAGGAATGAAGGTATGATCATCAAAAATATTTACTTTTCATTTATGTACACTTGCTGCAAGAATTTATATTTCTATGTTTTCCTCTCAGCTCTGATTGCATTGCTAAGTGAAGGTGAGGAACTAGAAGAGCTGATGAAGCTTTCTCCAGAGGAGTTATTGCTGCGATGGGTGAACTACCACTTGACCAATGCAGGATGGCATACCATCAACAACTTCAGCCAAGACATTAAGGTTTATATTTTAAGGTTCAAATTTGTAACATAAAGTAAGGATGAAGAATGTAAAAACAAAAAAGATACAGACTTGCCTGGCCAGTGTGTCTCAGTGATTGAGCGTCAACCTATGAACCAGGAGGTCATGGTTCCATTCCCTGTAGGGCACATGCCCGGGTGGTGGGCTCCATTTCTAGTAGAGGACACTCAGGAAGCAGCCGATCAATGATTCTCTCTCATCATTGATGTTTCTATCTTTCTCCCTCTCCCTTCCTCTCTGAAATCAATAAAAATGTATTTTTTTAAAAAAGAGAAATACAGACTTAAATTTGGATTGGAATTTAATTCACAAGGGCACAGTTTAGGAAATGAAAATTTGCATTTCTCCGAGAATTATAATCACAATATCTTATATTTAAAAAGAACTGGTTTATTGGCTTTTAATAAGAAATACAACTGGCTATGAAATGGAGATACTCCTTAGCAGATTAAAGCATTCTTTCCATTTTATATTACTAAATTATAAAGATATACTAAATTATAAAGTGAATGTCAGTCTGAGAATTACATCTGTTTGATGGACTAGAGGCCCAGTTCAACACTCTTACTGCCACTTTGCCAATAACCAGCTAATAGGAAACCAAATTATCTGAGGGCACAGAGAATCAGTAGGCAAAAGGAGGTCTTCAGGTAGGTCTCTCAACCATGGTAGCTTGAAACACTTCCCTCGCTACTGGGAGACCATTGTCAAGGAAACTGTAACATTCAGTCTGCCTAATAACTGTTATTGTCACTGCATAGACAGGCATTGCCAAATTGTGTCCCTGTGACTCTTCTCTATATGCTTTTTTTGTGTTTGTTTTTCAGACTAATCAGTGTTAACAGTAACTCATATTTTCTCTTTAGATACATTAACACCTTCAGTCAGGTTATATTTTTGCCCTAATGGCCTAGATGACAATCTCTCTTTGAAGTGACATTGTATTTCTCTGCTTTCATCTAAAATATGCTCATTTAAAATTTTATTTGGGGGGCTCTCTCTCTTTTTCTTTTGGTATTTCTACAAACTTTATTTTGTATGACAGGTGAGTTTAGTTCAGCAAATCTAACTCTAATTTAATGTCATGTCTTTAACATACAAATGTGATCATTTTTAAATATTTGCCACAATTTTTTTCAGTTTAGTCATTATATTAATCATTTTTTAAAAATTAAATCTGTATTGTTGAAAATATTACATATATCTCCCTTTTCCCCCCATTGACCCATTCTAGCCCATCCCCACCCGCTATCACAGGCTTTCACCTATTGTCTGTGTCCATGGGTTATGCATAAAGGCATATACATTCTTTTGTTGATCTCTTCCTCTCCACCCACCCTTCTCCTCCTTCCCTATGAGATTCCACAGTCTGTTCCATGCTTCTATGTCTATGGATCCACTCCATTCATCTGTTTATTTTGTTAATTAGATTCCACATATAAGTGAGATCATGTGAGACTTTGTATTTCTCTGACTAGCTTATTTCATTTAGCATAATACTCTCCAGGTCCCTCCATGCTGTCTCAAAGAGTAAGAGATTCTTATTTTTTACTGCTGCATAGTATTCCATGGTGTAAATGTACTACAGCTTTTTTTCACTTATCTACTGATGGGCACTTGGACTGTTTCTAGATCTTAGCTATTGTAAATTGCGCTGCTGTGAACATAGGGGTGCATATATTCTTTCTGATTGGTGCTTTGGGACTCTTAGGATATATTCCTAGAAGTGGGATCACTGGGTCAAATGGCAGTTCTATATTTAATTTTTTGAGGAAACTCCATATTGCTTTCCATATTGTCTGCCAGTCTGCATTCCCACCAGTAGTCAATTAGGGTTCCTTTTTGTCCACATCTTCACCAGTACTTGTTGTTTGTTGATTTGTTAATGGTAGCCATTCTGAAAGGTGTGACATGATGTCTCATTATCGTTTTAATTTGCATCTCTCTGATGATCAGTGGCTTTGAGCATTTTTGCATGTTTCTTGGACATCTGTATGTCCACTTTGGAGAAGTGTCTATTTAGGTCCTTTGTTCATTTTTAATTGGATTGTTGGTCTTCCTTTGGTTAAGTTGTATGAGTTCCTTATATATTTTGGATATTAAATTTTATCAGATGTATCATGGCCAAATATGTTCTCCCATAGAGTGGGCTCCCTTTTCAATTTGTTGATGATTTCTTTTGTTGTGCAGAAGTTTCTCATTTTGATGTAGTCCCATTTGTTTATTTTCTCCATAGTTTTCTTTGACCTAGGACAGTGGTTGGCAAACTCATTAGTCAACAGAGCCAAATATTAACAGTACAATGATTGAAATTTCTTTTGAGAGCCAAATTTTTTAAACTTAAACTATATAGGTAGGTACATTGTTATTAACTTAATTAGGGCACTCCTAAGCTGGCCTTTGCTAAAAATGTCCTCAGTCTGATTGAGGTACGTTCGCTGAGGTGAACCCCTTCCAACTCTCCCATCCACACTCATCTTGTATACTTGTTTCATCTATTTTTTGTCACCCATGCGCGATTTGCAGACGCGACTAGCACTAACCACTGCACAATGAGACTGCTGACTGACTGGCTCACTCACTCGTGCATGAATTGCACGCGCCTCCCCCTGCACTGCGTATCCCCCCGGCCCACCTGTGCCGCGTCTCCCGTTGCCCAACCGACTAACACCCCTCACTTCTTCTAAACGCCACTTCTTCAAAATAGACTCACCCAGGCTGAAAACCGACTTCTGCACATGGGCCACGAAGTTTCAATTGCACTGTACGTGCATGCCCACACGTGGTATTTTGTGGAAGAGCCACACTCAAGGGGCCAAAGAGCCGCATGTGGCTCGCGAGCTGCGGTTTGCCGACCACTGCCCTAGGAGATCTATAGGTATACATATTGCTATGAAAGATGTCTGAAATTTTGCTGCCTATGGTTTCTTCTAGGATTTTTATGCTTTTGCAACTTATATTTAAGTCTTTAACCCATTTTGAGTTTATTCTTGTGTATGGTGTAAGTTGGTGGTCTAGTTTCATTTTTGTGCATGCATCTATCCAATTTTCCCAACACCACTTATTGAAGAGAGTGTCTCCCTGTATGTTCTTGCCTCCTTTGTTAAATATTAATTGAACATAATGACTTGGGTCGATTTCTGGGGTGTCTATTCTCTTCCATTGATCTATATGCCTGTTCTTGTGCCAGTACCAGGCTGTGTTGAGTATAGTGGCTTTGTAGTATAACATGATATCTGGTATTGTGGTCCCTCTCTCGTTGTTCTTCTTTCTCAAGATTGCTGCAGCTATTCAGGGACTTTTTTGGTTCCATATAAATTTTTGGAGTATTTGCTATAGATCTGTGAATTATGCTGTTAGTATTTTAATAGTGATTGCATTGAATCTGTAGATTTCTTTGGGTAGTATGGACATTTTAATAATGATATTTCTACCAATCCATGAACATAGTATATTCTTCTACTTCCTCTCTCTCTTTTTTCAACATCCTGTAGTTTTCTGAATACAAGTCTTTTACTTCTTTGTTTAAGTTTATTCCTAAGTATCTTAACTTTTTTTTGTTGCAATGATAAATGGATTGTTTGTTTAGTTTCTCTTTCTGAGAATTATTATTGTATAAAAATGCCTTAGATTTCTGGATGTTAATTTTGCATCCTGCTACATTGCCAAAATCCTTTATTAAATCCAGTAGTTTTTTGGTGGAATCTTTAGGGTTTTCTATGTACAATATCATGTCATCAGTGATTAATGACAATTTTACTTCCTCCTTTCCAATTTGGAGGCCTTTTGTTTCTTTTTCTTGTCTGATCACTGTGGCTAGATTTTCAGTACTTGGAATGAGAATGGTGAAAGAGGACATCCCTGCCTTGTTCCTGTTCTTAAGGGCAACACTTTTAGTTTTTGCCCATTGAATACAATGTTCGCTATAGGATTGTCATGTATGGCCTTTATTATGTTGAGATATACTCTCTATTCCTACTTTGCTGAGAGTTTTTTTTTTTTATCAAAATAGGGTGTTGGATTTTGTCAAATGCTTTTTCTTTGTTTATTGATATGATCATGTGATTTTTGTCTTTCAGTTTGTTTATGTGATGTATTACGTTTATTGATTTGTGAATATTGTACCAGCCTTGCATCCTGGAATAAATCCCACTTGGTCATGATGTATGATCTTTTTAATATATTGCTGGATCCAATTTGCTAATATTTTGTTGAGGATTTTATCATCTGTGTTCATCATGGATATATTGGCCTGTAGTTCTCTTTTTTGTTAGTGCCTGTATATGGTTTTGGAATTAGGATAATGCTGGATTCATAGAAAGAACTTGGAAGTGTTCCTTACTCTTGGATTTTTTGAAATAGTTTGAGGAAGATAGGTGTTAGTTCTTCTTTGAATGTTTGGTAAAACTCCCCTCTGAAGCCATCTGGACCAGGGCTTTTGTTTGCTGGGAGTTTTTGATTACTGTTTCTATTTCATCAGTTGTTATTGGCCTATTCAGGTTTTCTGATTCTTCCTGATTCAGTTTTGGAAGATTGTATCTTTTTAGGAATTTGTCCATTTCATCCACATTGTCTGGCTTTTTGGCATATAGTTGTTCATAGTATTATATTACAATCCTTTGTATTCCTCTGGTGTCAGTTGTTACTTCTCTACTTTCGTTTCCGATTTTATTTATTTGGGTCCTCTCTCTTTGTTTCTTGGTAAGTCTGGCTATGGTTCATCAGTCTTTTTTATCTTTTCAAAGAACCAACTCTTGGTTTCATTGATTTTTTTTTTTTGTCTCTATGTCATCTCTGCTCTAATCGTTATTTCCTTCCTTCTACTTTCTCTGGGTTTTTCTTGTTGTTCTCTTTCTAATTCTTTAAGTTGTATGGTTAAATAGTTTATTAATAATTTTTCTTGTTTTTTGAAGTAGGCCGGTAGTGCTATGAACTTCCCGCTTAGGACTGCTTTTGCTGTGTCCCAGAAATTTGGGGTT